AAATCCACCAATCATAGACAAGAAAATAGCTGTCTCTTATACACATCTAGATGTGTATAAGAGACAAGAGTTAGAGCAGGTAGAGTTAGAGCAGGTAGAGTTAGAGCAGGTAGAGTTAGAGCAGGTAGAGTTCATCCCATCAAAGAGGTCCAGGGACCCCCCGTCCCCCTCCTCACCCCCATCAAAGAGGTCCAGGGACCCCCCGTCCCCCGCCCCCAGGTCCCCCAGGTACAGGATGAAGGCGACGCGGCGGCCCTCGAGCTCGTCGTCGTGGCACAGCAGCGCGTCTGCGGGGGGATGGTGACGATGATATCAATGATAGTGTCTTATTAATGATAGTGATGTCTTATCTTCGAAGATAATGACCTAATATGAATGGTAGTGAGGTAATATTAATGATAGTGATGTGTAATAAATAACAATGATTTAATAGGGACGATGATAATGACTCATCACTCATATTAATGAGTGATGTCTTATCAATGATAATGATGTGATAGTCTCCGCTGATAGTGACGTGAAATTAATGATAGTGATGTCATATCAATGATAGTGATGAGATAGGCACGATGAAAAGGACGTAATATAAATGATAGTGATGTCTTATCAACAATAATGATGTGTCAGCACCCTAACAAAATTTAGAGGTGGTTGTGTCACCGAATTAGGTGCCGCCCAGGACTCGGGGCGCGCGCAAATCAGCCGCTAATATCAGCCTCGGCCGGGCCTTAAGTGCAGCCTCTGGGCAGCTTGCTGGCTCGGCATGACTCGGCCATAGTGACAAACCTCAGATTTTAAGTATCAGTTAATTCTAATTTCATCATTTATACTCAATATTTAAACTAATTTATTATGTATGATAATGCAAGTCTCCATGATACTTTACTGGTCTACTTATAGGGCTCAAAAATGAGCTATAAGTCTAAAATAGTCTCTGCTTTGCCACTATGGTCACTCGGCCAACCCTTGTCATACTCTCACGCGACTATTGAGTCACAAATAAAGTAATAATACAAGCAGAATAATGTAATAATACAAAATAATTTATATAATTTAAGAACAAATAATAATAAAAAAATAACCAGAAAAACTTAGCGCCGAGTGTAGCGACTCTGCGGCCGGAGCCTAGACGGACCCCAAATTTTGTTAAGGCGATAACAGGTACAGGGATGACAGGGATGCTCACCAGTATGCAGGTACAGGGATGCTCACCGGTATGCAGGTACAGGGATGCTCACCGGTATGCAGGTACAGGGATGCTCACC